GAGAGAGAGAGAGAGAGAGAGAGAGAGAGAGGAAGGGAGAGAGAGAGGCAGACATGGACAAAGACAGAGACAGAGAGGGAGAAAGACCTTTTCTTTCCAAGATAGTTTCATTGTTACTAAGTTATTTAAACTTTCTCTTTGTAAACCAACTTTCCCCCCATTTTTCTATTTAACTTTCGATTTCTTTCTTAAATTTGGCTATTGAACATCCTTTTGCTCTCAGATATAACTGTCAGTGGTGGGAAATTGTAGTGGGAAATCCTTCCTGACAATCGAATCTCTAGTTCTTAAAGTTACTATTGCTAAGTTGTTAAAGAAGCATTGTGGAGTTGTGAAGGTGCCTGAAATATTGTGTAGGTGCATTTCATCAGTTTCTCTATAGGAAATATAGTTTCCCTTTTAGGTAGAAGATATTTTAATAAAAGTCATTATCAAAACTATTTATAAATCTTTTGGTCATTACAGATTTCCTGTGGCAGCATGATCTTACAGCATAATTAAGATTACTATAGGCTTTCACATTTAAAATTTTAGTGCTCATACATCCTATAAAATATTAATAACCATAAATTTTAGATAAATACTATTTTCTTGGCTCACAATGTTCTTTCTATCTTGAATAATATTCTGCCACTTCTTTCTTTGCATTTTTTTTTACATATTTCTCACTTGTCAGTTTCAATGAGACTTCCTCAGAGGACACCTTCTGACCCTTCAGACTTTTCCACGTTCCTTTAGTATACAATCTTAGTTACCTGTTTTTCTCACTCCTAGCACTTATAACAACTATAATAAAACTGTTAACTCTAATCATTCAGTGTTTCTTTTGTACACAGTCATAGTACTATGCAACATCCATATAGTTTTCTGGGAAAAATATAAAATTCATAGTAATAAAGAAAGATTAAATAGTGTTTGTTAAATCATATTTATGCAACAGGATGTTAAAATAGGACACTTGTAGTTTCTTTTTCAGCTGAAAAGTAAAGTTTTGGAATTTTAAACAGGCACACCTGCATTTAGACTTTGCAACAGAGATGCATTTATTGCACTAGACTCCAGTTTGTTCTTTAATCCAGTCACGGTAGGCTGTCACTTGAGTGTAAACTCCTGGTTTGTCTGGCAGACCACATTGATATCCCCAGCTCACTATCCCCACAAGGAACCAAAGCCGCCGTGAGTCTTCTTGTACCAGTGGGCCACCAGAATCCCCCTGTAGGAAACAAAATGATTAATTACTTAAGTAAGAAAAACCTTAAAACTTGAGTTTATTTCTACGGCACTAGAGGAAGTAGTATCTCTTATATAAATAAAGTCTATTTACTTTTGAAATGTTCTAAGTCATACAAAAAATTACTGAAATCCTTTAAGTATATAAATTATCCCTTTAACAAGTCTGAAAATAACATGATAAGCACATTTTCCAGACCTCCCTCAGGTAGTGCTTGGTTGTTTCCTACTCATGTCAGGCTAACATCCTCCAGTAATACTACTCTGACTTGCTCCTTTCCTCCTGACTCTCCCCACTTTCAGCTTTGAGCATAATTAGTTTCTCACTGTGTGTATATCTTGTCACTGTTTCTGCGTTATTTTAGAAAAGCTCATTTGTGTGCCTGTTTGAATTTATTCCCACTGGTCAGCTCCCTTGTAGTAGTTGTACCTCTCTGTAACACTCATTGCATTTATGATACTTAGCAGTATCTATTTTCCCAGCTCTAATGTGTTTTCCACACATTAGAGAGCAAACCTATTCTGGACACTGAGGCAACCTARGGTTACAGCCCATAAAATTCTAAGGCAATATTTGTTAAATTAAAGAGTTTGTAGAAGTCTCATTCATTTAACTATCCATAGCACTCTGTATGATGTGATGCATACTATATAATCATATTCTTTTGGTGAATAATTGAAAAGAAATTTGAATGGCAATAGATAAACACTCCTTAAGAGAGATTTACTAGTCAATTATAATAACCAATCAACTAGYAAATATTTATGCAATAATCTGGTTTGGGAGAAAAATTTATCACATCTTACATGTAGGATTAATTCTGTAGGCTCTGGAGCTAGGTAACCTGTGTTTGAATTGTCTACTTACCAGCTATGTGAACTTTAGTAATTATTTAACAACACTCTGTACATCAATTTTCTTATCAGTAAATAATTTTGCGTTTAAAACATAAAGCACTTCAAGTATAGCCTGACATGTAGTCAGTACTAATAAAAATCAGTCATTATTACCAAGTATGCATCTAAAAAAATTAGCTATTTATTTGACTGCTCTGAGTAGTTGGCTCTTCCATACCTGTTGAATTACTGGTCTGGGTAGGTAGAAGGGTCAGTGTGTGAATCACCAACTTGTGTGGCAAATACTGCATGGTTCTGGTTAGTACCTCTCTCTTTTGGATGATGTATGCATGCTCTGGTTAACCAATTCCCAGTATTTCCTTTAATGCATTTTTGCAGCTATCTGTCCTTCCTTCCTACCATTCTTTCTATTAGTTCATATTACACAAAATAGAGGTTTTCATTTTTGCATATTCATATAAAATGATAAAGTTTTCTGTATATTGCCTTATCAAGAGTGGACAAGCACACTATTTGCGGATGACATGATCCTATACCTAGGAGACCCAAAAGGTTCTACCAAGAAACTTCTAGAGCTGGTAAATGAATTCAGCAAAGTGGCAGGATATAAAATCAACACGCATAAATCAAAGGCATTCCTGTATATCAGTGACAAATCCTCTGAAATGGTAATGAGAACAACCACCCCATTCACA